GTGGGGCGAGAAGAGCCGGGGCCGCGGTGCCGTACGCAGCCGTTTCCCGCCTCCGCAGCTCGTAGGACCGGAGCTCCGCCTGGGTGACTTAACAGAATGCGAGTTGAGCACGACCGGTCCCCAAACGCGAAATGCGCCCAAACCCGAGACTTTTAGGCGCTGGTATAACACTGCGAGTGGAAAATGCCACCCCGACCTCGTGCGATGGTCCCCAAACAACGCAGTACAGAATCCCATGTAAAGCCTCTTCAGGCCGGGTGTCGGGGTGTATGTGACTCCGCTGTGCTTACACTCGGTCTCCTCCCCGACATAGCTCACTGTGCATAGCAAGTATTCCGAAATCCAGAAAGAAAACAAACACTCCCGGTCTCATGTATTTGGGGTACGGCGGGTGCTCAACCTGCATCACCGAGTCCTAGGGTTGGTAGGCATTGGTTTGCGCAGGAGTATGAATCAGGGCCACGGTTTCTTCCCACGTGGAAGGCACGGTTTACTGTTCTGTTATCTGCTAAGCAGGAAACTTGCTTTGTTAAGTGTTAATTGGCTTTTTATTTTTTAGAGAATTTTTTGCTCCCTGGGCACATGTGCTCACCAGAGAGACAGAAATTGAGAAGTCACCCGCCCATGGCCAAGCTGCAGTCTGGTCTCCATTCTCCCTCGGGTCTTGGGCATGAACACACAGGTACCCGCCTGAGTTTTAAGCCGCCAGGTCTGGAACTCAGACCGTGTGACTGTGTGGGAGTCCACAGACATAACCATCACAGCATCTGCTGGTCCCAAAACTGGCTTTTTAGAAAGGCTTTCAAAACGGGTCTTGGGAACCAACAGTTAGCGTAATGGCTATGTCGCTGGACTCCCACATAGTGGACCGTGGTTCGCGTCCCGGACCCAGTGGCTTAGAACTCACACCGGGCGTGAGTGCATGCATGCCCAAGATCCTGAGAGGAGAATGAAGGAGAAGGGATTGCAGCGTGACCATCCCCCCTGGGGGATGATTTCTTGCTTTCTATCTCTATATCTCTCTCTCTCTCTGGCGAGCGCACACGCCCTATAGCGAAAACCACTGAAAAAAAAAATTGGGTCTTGTACCCCAATGTAACAGGCAAAGCCATTAGAGGCTTGTGTAAGTTGGTCTGTCTATGGTGAAGAGCTCTGAAGGTACAGTGGATATGGTTGGTTCACTGGTCAGCATGAATGCGCCAAATCAGTTGAATAGAGTTCTGTCATCTTTACAGTTGCATGCTAGTAAGTGACTATATGGGCAGAAAGTAAACAACACATTCACAGATACTGTTTTATGCGCACTTCTGCCTCCTGTTTCATCTTTCATTTGTCTCTTCAACAACTGAAACGGGCCTGTCCTAAGGCCAACAGGAATCTTACAAACAGTAAGCCATGCAAGGGGCCAGGAGGTGTGGTTAAGGGCGCTGGACTCCCGCATGGCCGACCACAGTTTAAGTCCTGGGCCTGGCGGCTTGCTTTCTCACTTTCTCTTGCTCTGCTCCTCTCTGGTCAAATTAAAAATAAATCGATAAATAAATAAAGTTAAATAAATAACAAAAAAAAATAATAATAATAAGCAGTAAGCCAGGGAGTGCTTGTCTGAATGAATAACCCCAAACTGACCATCTAGTCCTTAGATTTTTGTTGTTTTTATTTTCGTTTGTGCTGTCGGGCACATGTACTCCCTAGAGAGAGGTGGGGGCGAGTGAGCTATCACCCTCCAGGGCATGTTGGCCACTCAGTCCCTGCTCCTCCACTCTCCTCTCAGGACTTTGTGGGCACACATGCACACA